ATTACTATTCCTGGGTGGAGCAGCAATTTGAAATATGGCTGGCAAAAATGCATCACCCTGAAGGCATGCTTATTTTAACTTTTTTTTTAAAAAAGCAAACAGAATGACAAAGAACAAGGAATTTATCCTTTCTCTTCCCTCTCTTCCTTCTCTTTTTTTTCCTTCCTTTCTCTCTTTCTCCTTTCCTTCCTTCCTTCCTTCCTCCCTTCTTCCTATCTACCTAGCATCCCTTCCAACTCTTATATTCTTCTGCTGTTCTGTTATTCCCCTTCCCTTAACTGAGGATTGGCAGAATTCAAACAGGAGGCCCTGCATCGTGAAAGGGCCTCTCCGACAGTCAGCTGGCGAAGAGAAGCCCAACGGCCGCTGCAGGCCAAATGGGGACATTGTGTGCCCGGTGCACAGTGTCGCCCACTCATTGGCTGCCAGGACATGCCTCTCCCCCCATCCACCCGCCCTGCCTGGAATCTGAGGCTGGTGGACGTGGGAAGAGGCACCCAGCCCATGCCTGCTCATGCAGCAGCCTTCCCCAGGGCTGACTGGCACAAACTCGGCCCCCGGGATGCGACATATGGCCGGGGGGGGGGGGGGGGGGGGGGGAGCATAGGAGAGGTGGGATTTCAAACCTGGCCGCTTTCTTAATCTCCTTTCTCGGCCTCTGGAGCCTGGGGGTGGGTGCGTGCCCACGTTCGTATTTTGGGGGAGAGGTGCAGGAAAGTCTCGCGTAAAAGTCTAAGGCTTTCTCCTTTACTCCTTCTTTATCTGGCCACACAAGAAATTGGTCTTCAGTGCAGAAGCCCTCAGCGTGCTCGCAAAACAGCGGGAAGTATATGAATAAGAATGGCAGCCACTATAGTAATAGTGTAGCCCTCCCTCCACTTACAGGAGTTCTTTCGTGACTGTTCGAGATTAAAGCAAGACGGAAAAAAGGGACACAGGACTGTTTCCCACTCTTATGACGGCTGCAGCTTGCCCACTGACCCGTATTTACGATGGTCACAGGGTCCCTGGGTCACGTGATCCCCTTTTGCGACCTTCTGACTGTCAGAGTCAAGGGGGAAGCCGGATTCGTTCAATGACCGTGTGGCTAACTTAACAGCTGCAGTGATCCACTTAACAACCGTGGCAAGAAAGGTCGTGAAAGGGGGAAAAATAACTTAATAAGCATTTCCCTTAGCAACAGGATAAATTGGGCTCAATGGTGTTCGTAAGTCAAGGACTACCTGTATGGAATAACAATAGCAGAGTTGGGGGGGACCTTGGAGGTCTTCTAGTCCAGCCCCCCCACTCAAGCAGGAGAACCGGGGTGGTGGTGGGAGGATCCATGAAGCCTCCTGGTTTGCATCACCTGCCCTGGAACCTCCCACTGCCTTTTGGCCTCACTTTACACACCTGGTAAGACTTTTGCAACATCATTTTACCTGGAAGGGCGACTCCCACAGCCATTGACGTCATCCACAAACACACAAACACACAACACGGGGGTTGCTGTGTGAGCAGCTGCTGTGGTTGGGTGTCCCAGCCCTGGCGCAGCCCGTCTGCCAGCCCCTGACCGGGGGTGTTTATTGGGCGGGGGTCCAAAGAGGCTGTTTGGGGGACAGGGGGGGGGGTCCACCTGATCAGTACTGCCACTTCCCCTGCCCAAAATACCATCGATGGTTTTTTTTTTTTTTTTTAAACAGCCTCATCTGCAGGTATGTGTCACCTGCGATTATGTGGCGGGGGGGGTGCTGGCATGGTTGTAAGGGTGAACAGCAGTCCTAAGTCCCTTTTGTCAGTGCCGTTGTAACTTCAGTCAGTGACTGAACGGTCGTAAGTCGAGGACCGCCCGTAGTGGTGGTGCAGTGGCTGCCCGGAGGAGGCCGAAGGGGTTAAATTTGTAAGCGGCTTAAGGGTTGCGGGAGGAAAAGGAGCCGGAGGCGGCCGGGCAGGGAAACTTCACTGGACAAACCAGCCCTGAACAAAGAGCCTCGCTGGTTGGGTTTTTCTTCCCCCTATGCTCGTAGGACCGGGGGGGGGGGGGGGGGGGGGGGGGGGGGGGG